GTCTTCTGGATTGTGCAAGATCTGAAGGGGGCAGTCCACTCTTGGCTTCTCGAGAGGGCATCGAAGATGGATTACAGCCTGAGCTGAAAGAGGAGCACAGTAACCCGGAGAGAAAGGCACCCTGTGCAATTTTTCAATTCTCTTAGGAGCGGAAAGGAATCTATGATTGTTCCTAGAAGATTTAACCGAGAAATGGATTTCAGAGTCAACTCCAGTTGATAGTCTGCATTCTTAAACTGCATAATTTCTCCCCTGAAAGAATACTCTTGACCCTGAAGTTAATTCTTAGGAAGGGGGAAAATTCATTTCTTCTTTATAAAGAAAGCTGTGAAGCCTTACCAACTTCTATAAGGAATGTCCTAGGAATTCTCTCATGCTGAATGCAAGGATGTTTTCCTGTATTTTCATCAGACGAAGAACTAGAGGCCAAAGTGGCATAGTAGAGGTGGCAGGGGTGGGCATGGAATGGATCTTAAGCAAAATTTCTGTTAATGTCAGTGGACCTATGTCCATCTAAGGATTTGAAGACGAGTTGTGGATGCACAGTAGAGAAATTAGCCTGCTAAGGGAAAACTTGATATCGTCTCTGACAAGTGACAAAGAAATACATGAGCTGAAAGTAAACTTCTTTTGTACATTTGTATGTTAGTGCGCATACACAGATATTCATAAACAGCACAAATAAAAGGTGCAGAGTTGGCTCCTAGTAGGAAATGGCTGTCTTGCTTGGGGAGAGATGAATTGAATTTTTATAGTTGTATCCCATGAAACAGTTCAGCAGAAATATGAGCTGTCAGGAAGCTAGATGTTTGTAAATATAAGTTGAGTTTCTCTGTGGATAGTTTACATTATTTACATTTATGGAAACTAGCTCCCATTTAGAATAGCTAATGCAGAAATGACTCTAGAGTCCTGTCTGCTCTAAGGTTGATGACGCCTTTGGTGTCACCTTTTCTGGATGTGTCTTGAATCTTTGAAGAGGTGTCAGACAGACAAGAATACAACTATCAGGATTAGATTTTTAACCCTTATATTTATTTTCCTGTTTCAGGCTTGTTGTTGTTGTTGTTGTTGTTGTTGTTGTAATTTGACCTGTTGCTCAGAACCCAGATGTTTCTCTCTGGGGAGAAGTCAGTAGAAAATGAAGTTCCAGGGTGCCTGGCTGAGAGAATCTTAACACAAATTCACTTTGCTAAAAGTACAGCTTAATTTTGTTTTTTTCACTCCAAGTGATGAAAGTGATTTGAATATTGGTTAAGCAAAACTTTTGAATATTTTTCTGAATGTTTTTGTTTTCAGGAACAGACTTAAATAAAAATTAAAAAAAGACACCAAAACAAAAACCAAATAAAATTTTTTAAAAAAAGAACCAAAACAACTCCCCCATGCCCTCTCAGAAAATGAATTTATTTCTTATTGTAATACACTGTTATGTTTTGTAAAAGTAACTGGCTTTATAAATTCAAAAGAAGCACTAACCTAATAATGAAAAATAATGAAATGATGGCATTCAAAAGATGATAGCCAATTAAGTCCTTCTAGCAGAGGATCTAAGTAGTTGTTCAGGGAAATTTGTAGCACTAACTAAATTGGACATATTCCTTAGTGAACAGTATGCAAAGGTGAGCTGTGCGTTGCCAGTGCCAAAATGAACTCTTTAACATTAACTAGGTCTTGGACTATGGTAATGGGAAACTTCCCAAGATTTCACACATTTCTTGATAATCTCCATGGAACCATAACACTTACCATATGTTTTCCTGGTTGGCAGGTGGAGTGGATACAACAGCAGGTGGTTAAAAGAAGGATAAAGAGGGATTACAAACCTGGTGGTACCCAATCCACTTATTTCAATGATCCCAAGTGGCCAAGCATGTGGTACATGGTGAGTACATACAGGGCCATTGGCTCTGTTTCATGCTAGCATTTAGTTGTCTGCTGTGATATTTTGAAAAGAATGTTCAGAAAAAGCAAATTTGGGTTTTTTTATGTAACTAATGAAGGTCTGTAAACTCCTTACAAGTGTTATAAAGAATTCCCAATGGGCCCTGCAATAGGAAACATTTATTAATGCGTTCATTCATTAATGTTTCCTATTGCAAGATGTCTTGGGAATTACTTATTAGAGGATAAACTTTCAGCAATAAGAAGAGAAGAAACAGCCACAATCTGTGAGAGCAGTGAAACGACTTGTTTTCAATGAGTCTAATTCGCTGTCTCCAACATCAATGTGATAAAAATGTCTTGTGTCCTGAAACAGGAGAACAGAGCCACGACCACTGGCTGTTCAGTGTTGTAATTACAATCTTTGTAGAAATGAACAATTACATTGTTGAAATAAATGGACTGTTTGAGCTGTTTCTTGTCTGACATGAATTGCACATTTTTGGAGTAAAATTCTGCCCATCACAGTTAAGGCTTGGAGTAAACTTCAGTATTAGCGGTGTTTTTAAAAATACCTAATTTTGCTTAGGAAGGTGCAAATGAAAAGTTGTATTTAGTAGGCAGTTGACTCCAGCTGACAAGTCTCTATTTTGGCTGATAAAAGACTTGCTCTCTTTCTCTACCGTTTTTTCTAAATCCCTAAATGTTGTCTTCTCACTACGTCACCTATGTTGCTGACAGTACGATACTCAGAAGGTTTTACAGCTTGATAGATTGTATTGCTTCAGATAAGGAGGAGCATGTGCCTTTCTGGCAACAATAAGATAATTTTCCTGTAAGAAGGTACTGTCTTTTCAGGTATTTTGTTACTTTTCAAAGCATTAATTTAGTATTTCAGGTGAATGAACAAGATTGTCCTAACACAGCTTTAAAAATACTAGATTTTTATTCATTTCATTCTGGCTTATAATTAATGATAAATTAGTTTCCTAAATTCTTGTATTTTAATGAGAAACTATGTAATAACCTTACTTCCAAAATTCCTCTTATTTTTCTTAAAGAACCATAATACTGACTCTTCTTTTCTGGTGAAAAAATTGTTCCATATTACTCTTACAGAGTTATTAGAGATCTATGTCTTTCAGGCAGTAACTCTCCTCATATAGTAGAAATATATTTAATTTATGTTGCAGTAATGGGTTGATGTAGCTAAGGTTTTTTTTAGCAGTTCATTGTCCACTTTGAAAACAGTTTTTATGCAAAACGTAGTTCTCAGTTGTTTGTGAAAGCTGTATTATTTTGGGTCATGGGATCATGGCAGGTCTTTTTCCCAGTTTCTTGAAATGTGTGTACTTGTCCGTCTCCCTTAATATGTATTTAGATTCAGTCTGCCTATCCTATAAAATTGTGCATGCGGTGACAGGCAGATTCCAATAAATGGCAGTATATCGTGATACTGTGTCAGTTCTCGTTTTTTAAAAATCTTATTTCAGCATTTTTAATTGAAACTAGAAAATAACAGTAATTTACCTTTAGGTAGTCTGCTGTTATTGATACAGACATTCAGCTCTCTGTTAGAGTGAAAAGAGGGAGGCAAAATTTCAAGAGAATAATAGTAGTCAAGTAATAGCCCACTATGTGTGGTGTAGGGTAGCTTATGTAATTTTTGCCTTGTGCTACTAGATTTGTACACCAGGCTTTTAGTGCCACCATAGCTTTTTGGTGGAACTAGGTTAGTGGGGTGTTTTTTAACTGATAATAGATGCTTGTAGCAGTTGCCTCTAACTGTGTTCAGGAAGGCAGAGGTCTCCTGTTTGTAAATCAGTTGTGTTGCCTAACCACGCTGCTTCACAGCTGCCCCACAATTACCAGTCTAACACGGATAGCGCTTTATAGCAGCAAATGGACTCTGCTGTTTGTCTTGTATAACTTTCAGAATAATGTCATTTCTGTACCTGTGGAAGAAGGTCCTCACTTGCAGATCCTCTGGGAAGGGACTGCTCCTGACTGATTGCATTTACCTCCAATGAATAACTCTGTGTGTTTGCAATATCTTTAGTGGTAGTGGTTTGATGACGTTTTGTTGAGAGCGATCAGTAAAGAGTTAGAGAATACACCATTTCAGCAGAGAGAATAGCTAAAAATATGTGAATGGGTTGACTTCAGGACTGACTTGGGTCGTTACCAGATATCCTCATATGACTATTTTTGTGATTGTAACCATAGCTACTTTTGTTAATCTTATTTTGTCTTTTTAAGTTGAAGGGGAAAAAGAAATTTGAGGTTAGTTAATGGTTTCAGTCATTGCTATGTCAGACAGAGGTTTTTAGGTTGCTGGCTGCAGACATGTTATTGAGAAAGTAATAAAGTATTATCACGTACAGGCTTGTGTTTTGATTAATAAGTAACTTCGTTGTGGGTTAAGATTGATACCTTTGGCCATTGACCTGGCATAATTTCTAACAGGGCCGTAAATGTAGTTCAGATTTGTTGACACAAGTCCTTTTATTCGAAGACTTTGTCAAACAATATCTGATTGATGTTTTTGCCAGCTTTTTCTTCACAAGTACCACCCCTTGTGATTTTAATTGTCTGGGCTACAAATAATACATGTTTGTTTGTGTGATATCCATGGCAAGAAGTTACGAGGCGGGTTCAGGCCTTCTTTCCCTTTTGGGCTATCAGGAAGTTTAAAAGTATCTCTCAAGAACTATTCGGTGAACAAATTAAAAGGCCTTTTTTTTAATCCCCCTATTTTTGTCCATTTACTCTAAACACATTCCTAGAAAGAGTAGAGAGAGTAGAAATACAGTTATTTACCACCTTATGGTTCTGTGGAAGCCAAAGCAGACAGAGCTTCCAGAGCCACTCATCACCTGAAAAAATGTACTTGTACTTTGCATTACCAAGGGGTTATCTATTGAGAAATTACAGCTTCTCATGCTTTCTAATAACAAGGAAAAAGCGATTTTTTTCTGACTTGCCTCGCTCAAAGCAAGGAAAGTTGGGAAAAAAACAACTGCTTTATCATGACCTCTAAATCCTGAGGCATCAGTGATTAAGAGTAAAATAGAATATTTTTATAGATTAAGTAACACATGAAACGTCACCTGTTCAACAGTTATTCAAAACTGACCTACAGAATTTGGTCCAGCTTGCTCAGAATGAACTGATATCAAAGAAATAAAATGAAAGGGAAAGGAGGTCCCTACTTAACATCCGTTTCCAAATTCTGAGGCAGGAGAGAGCTAAGTCCTGTATGCCATCCCCAGAGCTCAGCTATCTTTGTATCATCTTGTCATATCCAATAGATTTCTTCTCTTTCCTTGATTTTGACAAAATAGCCTGTTTGTTAATAACTGGATGAGGTATGTATAATCAGTTTGCATAACTGAAAGAGGTCCAAGTCAACTCTGAAGCTCTACTGCTATCTGAAACTGTTCTACTTAACTTGTAATAACAACAAATAGTGTCTTTGGAATGACTAAGGGGACTTTGTGCCTAACCTATTTCACTGTACCAGCCAGGTGATTTAATGAGTTTCCTCATCTTGCCTGCATGGAAAAATGCAGAGAAAAATGCATAAAAAGTAGAGAAAGTAAATACTAAAAAAATAAAAATATATGCAAAGATGTTAATATAACTAACTCTGACTTTAATAGTCTTCAGTCACAAGACTGCTCTTGCTGACCATTTCTTTTTGCTCTTCACTTCGGAAGAGCTTTGTAGTGATCAGCTGAAACTGGAATCACCCAGGCATACAAGCACAGCTTTCTGCAGCTGTAATATAGCTCTGCTGGTGGTGCTGGGCTCCACTGCATATTTTTTTTAAATAGAATGTAACTGCAAGAAATTAATTTAACCATTGTTTATTTTTTAACAAACCATTGTTAGACTACAAAGACAGTAACTATGTCTTTGCAGTCAGTTCAGACAGGCCCAAGTCTTTTTCAACACTGATCAAGGATAATCCTCTCCAGTACTGTTATCATCCCTTCTGTTGTTAAGAATAACTCCTAGCACTGACAGGATTCTGTAATTTGGAGAAGTTTCAACTTCCTACCAGGTTCTTTCCAGTCTGCATGGCCTAGCTACTGCTGGGCAGGAATTGAACATATAATAGGATATTTCTGTGGGGCTGAGAATTTGCTAGAGGAGAGTATGATGTTTTGAGATGTGAGGCCGGAGGAAGAGACACTGTTCTGTTAGAGCACCTAAGAATAAATGTGGTAGTTAAAGTGTGTAAGCCAAGTGTTTTCTTATCACTGGATGCCACTTCATCAGACAAAAAGGAAATATGTATCCAGAGATTACTCCTTATAGCTGGAGAAGGTATGGCACTGTCAGAGAGAAACAAGGGAAAGCTGGAGCTTCCATTGCGTTAAATCACTGGGGCGAGATGGTATTCCTCTGGAAAACTACAGCATAAAATAACTGAGCTACCCACAAAAATAAATAATATAACTTAAAAATCATGTTATACTCAGAGGAGAAGCTAGCCAAGGTCTCTAAAATGCATGCTTGGGGGTCATCCTGAAAATTTCTGTAGCAGTGAAACTTACCTGAGAACATAAGGAAATAGACAATATCACAGAAGTTGTAAACTACAGCAAGAAGTGAACAGGGGAACCTACCTGTCGGCTTCTCAGGTAGAAAATGGGCGACATAGTCACATTCATAAGCTACTTGGAATGGAGGAAGAAGGATACCACCTACTACATATCTAAACCAAAGAAAACACCATCTTTTAATTGTCATTGCTAAACACGTCCCACACCAGCATGAAGTGTAATGCAAAGTCTCATAGAATCATAGAACGGTTTGGGTTGGAAGGGACCTCAAAGATCATCTAGTTCCAACCCCTCCATGGGCAGGGACACCCTCCACTACACCAGGTTGCCCAAAGCCTCATCCCACCTGGCCTTGAACACTTCCAGGGATGGGGCAACCACAACTTCTCTGGGCAACCTGTTCCAACCACCACCCTCTGAGTGAAGAATT